TGTGGTAAAGCTAAGTGTCGTAGAGTCAAGTGTGGTAAAGTCAAGTGTACTTGACCCCATGTATTCTCTATGTATTTTCTCTGCGGGGCTCCGCACGGAAGAACCCTTCGCGATGCTTTCGGGAACTAAAGGTTAACCTTTGCAATTCTACAGGGCTTATAGTACCCGAAAAAGTTAAAGGTTGCCTGCACTACTAGGTTACTAGGTGTCCTTGTCACATGCAGCACACGTTGAACCCGGACGCACCCTACAGTCAAGTTTGTGTTGCGAATCGAGCCAACCTGCCTAGATCAAGAGGCGCCTATGAAGGTTGCTAGTTTCAATATTCCGTTTAGAGTGTCTTGCGCCTTTTAACAATGGCCACGTGCCACCTACACTGACCTACACGTTACAACTCAACCAATGCAGCACAGCCATTCTGAGTAGCGTGCGCTTGCATTTGGAGGGCAAGCCCTCTATTGACATAGCTTCCCCTGGAAACCCAAAGAGCACCTGAAAAGATTACATTGAGCACTGAACCAGAGCATCAAGGAGCAATCGCGGAGGATCAGCAGAACTGCAATGAGAGCCCAGGCTTGGACAAACTGCTTTGTCCATGCGCGCTGAATTTTCGGCACCTCTGCTGGTTTCTAATGTTCGAGGGTACACGAGTTTCAGAGCGCACGCCCCAAACCTCAAACCACGCACCTGTGGGGCTCTTCGAAAGTCTTGGGACTTAACAGCTACGGGAGTTGCAGAGGACCTAGGAGTCCGCGACTTCTGGACAGGGCGGCTGGAAGGCGAATGGCGTTCGGGCATAAGGTGTTTGGGTATTAGGGTTTAGGGTGTCAAGGTGTTATAAGGATTTACAGCTTTAGGAATCGATGTGTTTGCAGAGTCAGGGGATGCTGCTTGGGTCCTCGTAGCATCCACATATTACTTGCCGGAGAAGTGTCGTGATGCTCCAACATGCACATAACTCGCAACTAGATCGCCTTGGATGTTTGGCAAGCGCAGCAGTGGACCGTATGCGACCCCATCTCTGCAAGACCCTTACGCAACCCTCTTTATTACTCCTGTGAAAACCTAGGCCCCCTTTACCCGCCTTTAAGCCTTTCAGCCCCCTCAGCCAGCGTAGCACCAAAACAGTTTGCATCGGCCGCGGCGAGAGCTTGATAGTTCCGACCGCCTGGCATTTTAGGACGTTTGGGCTTTAGGCATTGGGCTTTTGGAAAGCGGTCTAGCCAGGGGGATTAGGTGCAATCGAGCTTTTCTAGCTGCTGCTTTGGTCTCAAGACGTCTGCGGTATATGCGCGTGATTTCACAGCAATTCAAACTCTAGCACTATTGTAAGTACTGCATAAG